TATTGTAAGAACACGAACCCTAATAGGACCAAATTAGGTCCAAGAGGCGTTAAATGTGCCTTCGTTGGATATGCTGACAATAGCAAATCTTATAGATTACTAAACTTAGAGACCAATATGATTATTGAGTCAAGTGATGTAGAATTCTTTGAGGATTCATCATCTTCGGATGATGAATTGAGGGAAAATTTTGAAAATATCTCTAGCTCAAGTGGAACATATGATGAAACGTCTTCCAAAGATATTGATGAGTCTTGTGAACCACAAAGAAGCAAGAGAACTCGAGTTGAAAAATATTTAGGATCGGATGAAATTGATAATCAACTTATCTCCTTTTATTAAGTAAAAGGAAATAAGTTGAATGTTGTAAAAATAATTCCTTTTGTTTTACAAGTGGAGACCGACCCTAAAACTTATAAAGAATCTATGGCTTATCGTAATAACATTTTCTAGAAAGATGCAATTAAAGATGAAATTGATTTGATAATGTCTAATAAAACTTGGAAACTTGTCGATTTATCATTAGGATCCAAACATATTGGATGTAAATGGGTATTAGGAGAAAATATAATATTGATGGTTCTTTAAATAACTTCAAGGTTAGATTAGTAGCCAAATGATATTGATAAAAAGAAATAATCGACTATTTTGACACTTATACACCGGTAATTAGAATAACATCAATTAGGATGTTATTCACATTGACTTCAATATATAGCTTGCATGTTCATCAAATGGTGGTCAAGACGACGTTTTTAAATGGGGATCTCGATGAGGAGGTCTATATGGAACATCCTGAAAGGTTCGTTCTACCTGAAAATGAACATAAGGTATGCAAGTTAGTAAAATCATTATATGGTTTGAAGCAGGCATCTAAGAAATGACATGAGAAGCTTGACTTAACAATAATATCATTCGATTTTAAACATAATAGTGTAGATAGATGTTTATATTCTAAAGTGTGTGATGATTACATGACATTTATATGCTTGTATGTTGACGACATATTGATTATAAGTAATCACATGTACATAATAAAAAAACGAAGAGATTTTTATCTTCCACATTCAAGATCAAGGATCTTGGACAAGTGGATACCATTTTGGGTGTCAAATTCACAAAAACTACAGGGTTATCACCTAAATCAATCACATTATATTGAAAATGTGATAAACAAGTTCAAACACTTGAACATAAAAGAATATAGTACCCCAATTAATCCAAATTCAAAACTCTTGAAGAATGACGGGATGGCGATTGCTCAATTGGAATATGCTAGTGCTATTAGAAGTTTGATGTATGCAGTTCAATGTATAAGACCGGATATAGTATATGCAATTAGTAAACTTAGTAGATTTATTAGCAATCCAAGCAATGATTATTGGAGGGCCATTAGAAAAGTTCTTGGATACTTAAAGAAAACCAAGAACTTAGATCTACAATATGATGAATTCTAGACAGTATTGGAAGGATTTACTGATACTAGTTGGATATCTAGTATGTGTGAAAGTAAATCCATATCGAGTTGGGTGTTCACTCCAGGGGACGGAGCTATTTCTTGAAAGTTAAAGAAATAAACATGTTATCACACTCAACCATAGAATCAGAATTTGTAGTCCTATCGGATACCAGGAAAGGGGCTAAGTAGCTTAAAGATCTCTTCTATGAGATACCTTTAGGATTGAAGAATATTTCTTCAATACCTATCATGTGTGATAGTCAAGCCACATTAGCAAAACTATACAATGAGGCATACAATGGAAAGTCTAGGTTCATGAGTCTTAGAAATGATTATATAAGGAAATTAATTAAGGATGGAATAATTTCCTTAAATTATATAAGGTCAATTGAGAATTTAGCGGATCCTTAGACTAAACCTCTAAATAGAGATTTAGTAGCATCTACTTTGAGTATAATGAGGTTGAAACTCCTTAACTAAAAAGGTTCAACAATGACAGCAACCTTACTTGTCATTATTCAAAAGGTAATCCACGAGTTCAAATGGTAACAACAAGTCATTCGATATGTGGATAATTGTAGCATTATAAAAATCTGCGATAGTCCTACCTAATTAAAATAATGCTGATTGTTACTGAAATGAGGGTTGATCTTTAAGCTTAAGTTCTGTGCAAAAATACAAGTATCTCTAAAAGTAACAAAGGTACTGAAAGAATTTCACCTAAACAATCTTAGAGGTGGTGTCGTCTTAATAGAAAGTTGGATTTTCTCTCTTAAAATGTTGTTGAAAAGGATAAGCGCAAGGCCTTATTAGCGCTAAACGAGTTATGAGAAACTTGAGAACACGTGGTACTCGTGTGTATTCTTACCGGTATTGTCACATGAAATAATTGGTTCAAAGTTTCAAACTTCCTTTAGTTTCGACTTTACTTTATTTGAATTACACTATTATTAGATTTAAATCGAAAGATATCTAATTCTTATACATGAGCATCGTATATTTTGAATATGAGATCTTGTTAATTTTGAACAAGTTGGGAATTGCTGTGAATTTGATTGTTCAAAACCAACAACTATAAAAAAAATAATGAAAATAAAAAAAAATATTTAGGCCATGCAGGTTGCATGGCACCCGCATGGCTAAATGCCGAGATCAAATATTCTTGGCATGGGTGAACCATGCGACCGCATGTATTTGTACCAAATTTTTTTATCGTTTCTAGCCTTTTTGGCAATTGTAAATTTGAAACTTATGACTTTTCACTTGAATTTTTAGCACCATTTCATGCTTCTGGTCAATGGTTATATATAGGAGAGCCATGTTAAAGGGAAAAATGTTAGAAAAACATCTTGCAATCCATATTTTGTTCCAAAAACAATCAAGTCCCAGTTTTCATTCATATTCATTCTATACTCGTGTTCTTTAAATTTTGGAGAATTTCACTTTTTGTTTTGGTGAAATTCTTTACAAGGCTTGTTACAATCCTTCAAACCATTTGTTGGAATACTCTTAAACATCTCATAAACACCGAAGATGGGGCAAATAACGTTTGAAGACAGCGATTCCGCGTTCAAGCCTTCATATTTGTTATTACGATTTTCTGGTTTTATTCTTATTGTTATCATACTTCTTGTGAATTTCCTTTTTGTTTCTTCTTCATCCCTCCAATATTTACAACACAAATTTCCCCTATGGCTATTGCTAAGCAACAAATGCTCTTCAAATTTGCTCCTTTTTACTCGAATTGATCCCACTTCAGATCTGTTGGGGATGGATTCATACCAAGATTTTAAGTGAAATTATGACTGTTGGCAATGCACATGGACCCCATCGCCTACCTTTTTATATTATCGTCATGTTTTAATTATCACAAAAAGTCTATATTACCCCCTTTTTTTTTTTTTTTTCTTATTTTGAATTATTCGTACCCTTCAACTACATATTCGACAATTCTTAAAAGGCATACTTGAAAATCGCTAATTATGGAGTTAATTGTTCCAATGATTATTGAACTTATATCTATATCTTCGAGTGCTCAGAGGGATGTAAAAGAGTCGGGCCGAGCCGGCTCGCGAGCCTAAAGTTTCGGCTAGGGCTCAGCTCGATTAAAATGGCCGAGCTTTTTTGCGGGCTCGAGCCTTTGCTTGGCCAAAAAAAAGGCTCGGCCCGAACTTTTGCTCGGGCTTTTTTTAGGCCGAGTCGGACATGCTCGTTTTCTCCCCTCTTTTTTTTTTTCTCCTTCCTAAAGGCAGCAGCTTAGTTGCCTTTTAAGGCAGTAGTTCGCTGCCTTGCCTTGAAGGCAGTCTCAATTTAATTTTTTTTTTCAAAAGCTCGCGAGCTCACGGGCCGGCTCGAGCAAAGCCCGTGTCCCCAAAATGGGGCTCGGCCCGAGGCTAGGCTCGGGTCTCAGAGTTACGAGCAGCGCAAGCCGGCGAGCCCGATTGCCATCCTTAATTGCTCACTAAAGTTTAAAATGTCGAATTTTGACCACTGAACAGAATTAATGACGTGGTTGACAGAATACACATGTATCGTCCCGTCACATCATTAAAGTTTGAGATGGTCAAATTTTGACAATTAAACTTTAAAAAATGTCTTCTATTGTTCACTAAACTTTGTGGTGGTCAAATTTTAGCCACAAAACTTTGATATAGTTGAATTTTGATCACTAAATTTTGAAAAGTATCTTCTATTATTTACTATAAATTTGGATTTAAATAAGCCTCTCTTTATTTCCTTTAAAACGAAACTCTTTAATTTTCATATTTATTTTTAACTACATATTTATACAATAAAACGTTATATACGTAAACTCAAAATTTTTTCAACTTTTTAGCCACACATTTTTCAAAAATCACTATTTAGAACTCTTTTATAAAAAAAATAAAAATAGACATCAAACGAAGGCTAAAATTCTTTGTTAAAATTCGAATTTAATTTAATTTTAACAATAAATAAATTGTACATTTCATTGAAATTAGTAATCATTTCATTTGCACAACTTTGTAAGCATTATCTATACCACTAGGAATGATTACTCAATTACACAATAATTAAATTTAAATTTAATTTATTTTTGTAAAACTTTAAGCGAAGGCTTAATTAAATATAAATTTATTGTGAACAATAGAAGAAGCTTTGCAAAATTGTGCAAAATTGCAATGATAACTTATCAAATCCACTTTTGCAATAAATAGAATTTTTCGGTCAAAAGAAAATAATTGATATTGGTATTTGAATGGGAAGGTGACCTTAGTTTGGTTTCTTAGCAAACTCCATAAAAATCTCCATTTGATAAATACTTCAGATATATGCATCTATCGATCAAATGACTTAAAATACTAATAGGGTTTACAATCTTTCCATATACTTAAACAGCGGGTCCACACGTACAGAATTTGGCTTCCAAAATTTATACAGAAAACATTTGACAGCAACCTATCAATTTCAAATCAAACCAAATGCTGTCACACTTGCATCTGGTGCAATTTTGTGAAGTATTCTTCTGTACAAGCAAATTAAATCATACTTTAAGGAGGAATATTAAAATATGTAAAAAGGTTATATTTCTTGAATTATTCGATTTAGTGAACTGGATATTACAAATTTATGATCTTACTCAAATTTCAAATACTTTCACAATACAAGCTGGATTCATGAAGTAATCACATCTTACAAACCAGAAAGGCAACCCTTATGGGCACGATATATCTGCATTGCTAGCTACAATAAGCCCAACACAAATGAAAAGATAAGGCATGGGGAACAAAACTACAGATTCCTCACCTGGTATTACAAGACCAGCCACTAGGTATCTTTAACCAGCCATATCTAAGTCAGAAATTTTGTTTCCCTGCTCACTCGACAAACTCATTGATGCATAAATATGCTCGATTCTTAGAGATGAGTGCCGAACTGTGTACTGGAATATAACCTGACAACATAAAACAAATCAAATATATTACACTTTCCTGAATATAAAGCTCATTAATAAATAATAGAAGTAAAATTAAAAGCATCGTAACCATTTGCTAATGAACATATGCATTCATACTTTTAGAGTGGTCACAGAACTAGAACATACCAACTAGCACTAAGCTCAACAAAAAAACAAACACAAGGATTTGGAACCAACAACTACAGAAAAGGAGTTTGTTCCACTGGTCAGTAACTTAGGTCCATGTCTTTGATCAGTCACTAAAGTTTAAAATGTCGAGATTTGGTTACTGAACTTAAATCTATGTCTTCCATTACTCACTGAAGTTTAAAATGTTGAATTTTCGCCATTGATCTTTGAAAATGTTGTATGTTACTCACTGTAAACTCGACATTTTTCAAAGTTCAACATTTATGCTAGTGAGTAATGAATACAACATTTTCAAAATTCAATTGTCAAAACTCAACATTTTAAATTTTAATGAGCAATTGAATACATGGAGCTAAGTTCAGTGACCAAAATTCGACATTTTAAATTTTAGTGATCAATCAAAGACATTGACCTAAATTCAGTGACCATTGGAACAATTAATTCCTAGAAAAGCTTGCTACCCCAAAGTCTCATAATGGTGGGATGCCCCGGTTAAGCAAACTCATTTAGTGAACTTGCTATTCCACTATTGTAATCACATGATCGAAAGTTGATTTAAAATAAAAAGAAAAAAAAAGAAAAAGACTTTGTTATAAAGTTAAATTGTCAACTCTTAGGCAATGAAAAATCACTGTATGAACTGAATCATTGTGACATCATTAAAGGGCATTAAATGGATAAATAAGGAGCAGAATTCATAGTAAGAAAATGAAATCTAAAACTAACTACTAACCTTGGAGTAACTATCAGCAAAAGCTCGAGCACGGTTGGGTTTTCCAAGGTAGTGCAAATCAGCTTTCTCCAGTTTTCCATCCACAAAACTTAATCCTCCATCACTAATAGCAAATCGGAGAAGATTCCCAGCCTGAAGTCCTGTCTGAAGACCGTCACAGTCAGGACAGGACACATGTATTTTTTTTTCCCCCACGTCCAATGTCAGGAGACTTAAGTGCGTAATGATATTTTTTTCAATAATTATTTTGTTTTCACTAGTTGTGTGCCTTGCATTATCTTCAGGAACCCTCATTTTTTTTTTCAAGAAAAATGTACTAGCAATCCATGCAAGAGATTGAACATTTGAAAAGCCATCAATTTACTTCATGGCAGATTAGAAAGTCATTCACTTTTTAAAACACAGAATCATAATTTAACTATTTACTTCTCGGATTAACTTAAGTGTAAATAAAATGATCAAACCTTTTGTATGAAATCCTCGTTCAAACAGCCAAATATGACAGGGGGATCATCTGATGTAGCCAGTTTCCCATCGAAAAGTAGCTCCAATACTACCTGATCATCCAACAGAAAAGATAAGAGTATTAAAATACAGCAGCAAAGTTCTTTTTAATGCGTTAATAGCAAGAGACTTGAGAAATAGATCATATAAAGTTACAACTTGTTATTCATACGAGAAAGAAACAGCACGAAGAAAAGGAGTAAAAGCACCAGGTTGCTGAGCAATAAACATACCAAAATATGTCATCTTTTCCAACTTAAAGCAATAATCCCTTCCAAGTAAAATCGGTATAATAAAAAATGCGAATTCAACGTAAGAAGCTAATTAAGCTCTGGTTTGGCCACCATTAAAATTATAATTCATTTTTCTCTCTCTTCTTATTAACCACACATTCTCCAATAAAATAATATTACATGTAAACCCAAAACAATTTCTTGTTTTTTAACCACACATTCTTCAAAGAACACTATTTCAAAAATTATAATCTCAAATAATGGCAAATAATGGGAGCCAAACGGGGGCTAAATAATTATAAAGAAAGTAATTGAAAGGGAAAATGAGAGAAATAGACTTCCATTGATTTAACTTTTATTTTCTTAAATAGATTTTCATTTTCCTTCTATCCAAGGCATCAATTCTAAACATAGGTTAAATATTAGCACATAATTGCAGTCAGATTAATTTTTAAAAATTGACACCATAGTATGAGACAAGTTGTAATGTAAAAAGAGTAGCATTTCTTACAAAAAGAATAGCTATATAGACAACTTAATGATATCAGAAGTGGTAAGTTCTGAATGTAGAGATACCTGCTGTTTATTTGGAACCTGTCCTTTACTATCTGTATCAATAACATATTGACTACAGTTCTCATCCTTCCAGACTAGCATAAGAGGTGTATTTCCTGACTGATAATGTGCATGTCTGAGGGAAAAAAATGAAATATAAAGATATCAGAGTGGGGAAAATCTGCATTGGACATGATAGAAGGTCAAGTGATCCAAATGTTGATACCAGTTGAAAACGTAATACAAACTACGAGAGTTATGAGTCAGAAGATTTATATAATTCCATGCTAAAAAGACAGGACAATCCTAAGTATAGATACAACAAACTGTTCCCAAAACACATACTTCTTGAATATTGTTATCTAATTGATCGAGACCTACTTTGAAGGAGTCATCTAAGGACTTACAATGGAGAAGTCCTCAAAAAAAATTGCGCACACTATGTGACAAATGTAGATGCATAGTTTCTTAATTGCCTGGTTACAAGTTAATTGGCGGAGACCGAATCAACAATTGTCATTTCAACTGAGTAAACTCGAGTTTGTAATTTTTTTGGTAAAGTAGAAGAAGCTTACTTATTACAAAACAATAGTCCATCCTTCACATATGGCACTGGCCCAGTATAAGCTGCATTTAGACCCTCCTGGTCACAGTTGTATATAGGAACGGTGCTGAATCTAAACTTATGGTAAGATGAGGGAACATCGCATGCCCCTGTCTCTACAAGCTTGCTATTTAACCAGAAAAATCTAAACTCAGTAGTGCACTCATACAGCGACATTCCCGCCCAACACACCATGTCAATCACATAATAAGTTTGATCTGGCTGCAAGTCATGGCAAAATGTGCAACCATGTTACAATCATGTCAAATCAACAAAGCCATATAGACATTTAAAAAACCATCACCTCGTGAAATATGCAGTCAAGTATACAATAAGATTGTCCCGATTGGGAACTTTTGCTGGTTCTGGCACCATTCGGCAGAGCAGAAGGAAAACGGTGCAGCATAGAGCCATTGCGCAATCTACTAATTGTTGTTCCATTCGATGAAACCACAAAACATCGTTTTCCAGCTGGCCTAGCAAATACATACCTATACAGAGGCCAGAAAAGAGCAGTGTCAGAAATGAGGTCAGACAAGATTCTCAGCACGAGTAGGGTTTTATTCTTTTCTTTTCTTTTCTCATAAAGCCCAGAAATCTGGAATCCATTAATTGGAACTAAGTGATTTTAAGTTCAATTATGTCATTTGACATTACAAATCATGAATTGTACAACCTTTCAAATTCAAAGTCCATTCAAAAGGAATAAACGATGTGGTTTCAAATTCAATTTATTGATAAAGAACACAATAAAAATAATTTGGAAGTTAGACAATCAAAATGCGGGATTTCAACAAGTTCATATTTCGAAGAATTTTCGGAAAGAAAAATTCAAAATTTCAATGCAATGAAATTAGACGAATAACTAGACGCCAAAGCATACCAGTCAGTATTTAATCGCTCAGGAACATCAATCATCCACTCAGGAAGCATAAGCTGCTTTGCGAACCATTGGCGAGCTTCGACCCCTTTCAGTCTGGATGCCTGTATAACATCGTCTATGTCTCTTAAATCTCGACGCTGTTCTTGGGACTCGATTTCCAATTCGGGTATGAGTTCCGTTTCCGATTGGGGTTGGAGGTCGGGCTCTGTTGGTTCGTATTGAGCGGGTTGAAGGGTGAGAATAGTGGAGGCTAAACAGCGCGCCTGGTGTTGAGCGTCGCGGCGGTTCTGGGCCTGCCGTTGTAAGGAGATTTCTCGGCGCCTTTGCTGGTCTGAGATAGCCGGCCGTTTGAATGGACGGCGGAGTTCGTGCGTCGCCATCGATTTAAGCCGCTGTCGGATTCGATCTGTTCCAGATATCCAGTGAAGAATCAAGGCAACAGTCACCAGTCACCAGTATTGAATTAGTAAGTTTGAAATTTAGGGATTAATGTCTAATTGCAGTTTGACACCCAAAAAATTCACTTCCTTCTATGTTTACGAGATTGGGAAAATATAATTAAAAATATAAATTTTTTCTAATATATTTCTATATTAAAACAATAGTTTAAATAGAAATAGATAAAAAAAATTATTATTTACACCAACGACCTTTTCAATCTGACAAGATGGTTCACATATCCACTTGAATCCTATGTACCAAACATACAATTGAAAAACAAAAATTCACATTTCAAAAGAGTGAGTCTATTATTTGATAGATGAGTTTCTTTATATTAGCGTGATCATCATATGGTTCAATATGAATATCTTGAAAATTGGATGATAAGCCTACATTATGCACTTGTTTATGACTTTCTTTACTTACTAATTTATGATTAATTGAGTAGATATCTACTTAATATATTAGTTGTATTCAAATCCTCAGTTTGGCTGTCTTCAAATGCAATTGGAATGAAAATTTGAAATTTGAGCTAAATTGGGGTTGATTCGGAGTAATTGATAATCAACCGAGTATCAATTAAATAATTGAAAAACATATAGGAGCAATCGAAGTGATTTACAAATTTGGGAGCTAAATCCGATATTTGGAAAGCTTAGAGACTTAATTGAACTATATTGGAACTTGCATCGGATCTGTTATGATTTACGAGTTCGCGGACCAATCTATAATGAATAGTTGAAGGACCAAGATTCAAAGAAGAGAAGAGGAAGATTGAACAACAGATAAAATCTGGGGATCAAATAATAATAAATGAAAAATTAAGGTTGCGATCACAATTACCATTTTTGTAGAACTTGAAGTCTTCATTCTATGCAATTTTTATACTATTGTGAACGCGGTCCTTACACTCTTGAGATCGCAGAGTTTGATCTCCGGCGGATTATTTTGTTTTCCTTTTCAATCGAACATTTTATGGAAACATTTGGAGCTCAAATTTGACCTAAATCTATACAAACTTATAAAAAGAGTGAATCCAAAAACACTATTCACAATTTCGTCCAATATGACGTCATTTTATAGCGTTGTCATGACCTCATTTTTATTTCAATAATGCTATTCGAACAGCATCCTTTGCACAGATTATGAACAGGTAATAAAAAATTAATAATGGACACATCAATCAACAGTATAAATTGTTTGAAAAACGGGACAAATTTGGCAGACCACTGGTACAACCTTTCCTCCCCCAAATTGGAAGTCAACATTTTTCCTCCTCATTTTCCCTCATTCTCCTCTCTCCCGGGCCTTCATTCCCGCTAGCCAGTTCTTCGAATCCGGTAACACCTCCGAACAGCATGTCTTCGTCGGCACCGTCGAACCCAGGTGACCCACTGTTAAATGTCATCTTCAAAATTTTTCAATTAGACATATTTAATTTGTTGTTTGCAAAGCATGGAAAATGTCATTGCTTAAAAAAAATTTGAATGATAGTGGAGATGGAGATATTTAACAAAAGTTGCAACATTAAAATAAACGAAAAATTTGTAATGGGGATGATAAACCATAAACTGCCCTGCAAGCGTAAAATGGCATTTCGTCCAATGTTAAAGAAAAGGAAAACTCTGTAATGGGGATGAAAAACATGCCCTGCATTGGTTATTGTTATTACAATAATGCTGTTCAAACAATTTGGATTTCATGGTTTTTACTTTAGTTCTTTAGGTTGTGAAACTCTAAAGGTAACGAGAAGCTTGTAACCTGGAAGTTAAAATCATGGTTTTTACTTTAGTTCTTTTTAGCTTATTCAGTCTGTTGATAGCAGTGAGAACCTTAGATCTTTGAAATTTTACCAATAAACTATATTTATTTTACAATTTACTTAGAATGTTCAATCTTTATGCATAATAATGACGATACAATTTTTGCTTCATTTCTGGACGTAGGAAATAATATGGAAGGTGGCATTGATGATTTTTTGTTGGAAACTGAGGATGAGATCGTTGCGGAGAACAGGAACATAGTGGAAGATGAAATGTTAGGAGATGATGGTATCGTCGTACCTAAGGTCGGAATGATATTTAGCAGTGAGAATAAAATGTTTGAATTGTACAAAGAATATACATACAGCGTAGGTTTTCCCGTAAAAAAAAAGGAATTCAAAAAAAGGGGCCGGTGGAGTTTTGAGATTTGTGACATATACTTGTGGCTGTGAAGGTCGAAGGCCAAGTACTGCTACCGGATCTGTAAGGCCGCAACCAACAATTCAAACCAATTGTAAGGCCCGGATAAGCGCATCTTCAGATGATCATGGATCTTGGAGAATTAATGCAGTCCACCTCGACCACAATCATGGAACAAGCCCATCGAAATCCAGGTTGTTTCGATACAATAGAGAACTGAGTGCACAGGTGAAGCGGAGGCTTGAAGTGAACGATGTTACAATAATTCCTCATACGCTCGCTTTGATATGCAGGCAACATCGACATCGAGCAAAGGAAAGAGACCAAATTCGAGTCAGAGTGCTACTCCAGTTGGTACACAAGAACTTCAGGCGTCCCAACATTAGCATGAAAAATTCAGAAAGAAAATCTTTTGCCTCTTAAGTTTTATCAATTGAGGAAAAATTTTATGCATGTCCATAGTGGGCTATTTGGTTTTGGCCAAGTAAAATAATATGCAGAACCAAAACTTGCTATTTCGTGCCTGTAGAAATAAGAATTAGTTTGATAAGAAACTTGCGTGATTTTAAGTGAACAAATTTCAAGACCTGTGTTTTGCTTACATTTTGTATAGCTGTACATTTGTGTTGAACGTGTTAGTTAATGATCTGAGCAATAGATGCATGGACTGTCCCACGCATTTTGAAAACGCCTAAATAGAAAGAGGTAGAAACTGAAAGATCAAAACTTCTCAGGATTATATGCATTGCAACTTGCAAGCTGAAATTTTACACCAAACTATCTATAAACATTTCAAAACTTCTCAATGATTTGCCGCCCCGACTAGTGTTTGCCGCTGCGCAATGGGAATCGACCTGCTCGGTCAGGTCGAGGGGGCAGCGTCCTCCGTGGGGGCTCGGGGGGCAACGCCCCCGAAAGAGAATTTTATTTTCAAAAGTCTTTGAATAGGTATATCTGTTCGTTTTGACAGTTACTTCCAACAGATATGTTCTTCATTTCAAAGGACACACCCAATATAGAAGACGAACATAAAAAAAGTATACAATTGATCGTAAATTATATTTTTATTTTTGTTTACAAAACCATATCCTCGAACAACAATAAAACAGAAAAAATGGAAAAAAACGTTTGTAAGTGTCTCCGTGACACACTTGCGTGACACATGTGACACACTCTCCTTAACAGTGTGTCACGGAGACACTTTCTCCGTGACACACTACTCCGGGGCAGTGTGTCACGGAGAAACTCTCTCCGTGACACAGGAGAGAGTTTCTCCGTGTGTGTGTGTCACGGAGACATTGTTTCCGTGACACTCACTGAAGTCCTTGCAAATGGTTTGGATGAATATGAGAATATATTCATATGATGTTGTATTGAAAATATGCATCAAAATGAATCAAAAAGTTTTTATCAAATTGTAGTGAAAAAGTTAATTTGTAAATAATTATAAAGATCCCAATTGAGTAAATTCGACCACATGCACAATTTGAAGCGGTAACATACTTCAATTGCATTACTTGATGTCTACTCGTTGAATGTGTTCGTTTGGTACAATATTCAAATGTCGTTCGATATTTCTCATGGTAATGAATGGACCGCGTACACAGTGCCACTTCAAAACATTTTGTATATTTATGTCGAATTTGAGTGTCACCCCAAAATCAACACGATATTTGTACTCTCTAGATATTGAAATTTACTAATGACATTACAAAATAAAAAAATTACAAATGTACTCTCTAGATAGAGAAATGTTTTAGGTTTGATGTGTTTAAGGGTTTCTTTCACTTTGAATTCCCTAGAAAACTAAAACCAGCTCAACCATGAGAATTGGAATTCCTGCTTTTCGTGGAATTAGGAGTCACGTGAGGGAAAGTAAGAAAACCAAATGCCTGGAAAAAGTTGCCTATCAAACAGGCAGAAAGTTGAAAAATGGTGGGGAATTTTCCATTTTCCATGGAAAATATGGTGTATCAAACAGAACCTAAGTGAAACAAATAGTTAAAAAATACGTCATTAAGAACAACTACGTCATTAACATCACTAAATAACATGAAGTTTGAACAAAAAATGCAAGCATACATAACATCAACGTTTATTAAAAAATGGGGCTACTAATGCAGCCGGCCACTTTCATTTGTCATTCTTCTCCACGGTTGCTTTGCCCTTGCGAATTGTCATGTTCATGTTCATGTTCATCGAAATCTGAACCTCTTCTTCGTCGGGGAGATGAATTTGATATTGAAACATGCGCGACAAATCTGACACTGATTCTTCTGATGCTGGATTCGCCTTGCTATCGACAGCACTTGATTCACCACTTGATTCTCCTTCTCCAACCCACTCCCAAAAATCGCATTTCTGACTACAGCATTTGAATAGTTTTCCTTTGTTATCGGTCTCTCTCTCCACCTCAAAGCACTTCTGGAATCCACTCTTGCAAACGGGGCAACGACGCTTATTTCGGCATTCATCAAAGAAGTGTCCCTTCGATCTGCAACTATGACAAATTCCGGAATTCTTTCCTCCCATTCTACAACCACAATCAACCACCCAAATTATTGACCATTAGTGTTTTGCATGAACGTAATGAGTGGAGAGGACTGATCATTGTTATAAACTCAATTTAATGCTATTGAAAAAGTTGAAATTCCGTTTAAAAATGCATCACCAGTGGTTTTTATAGTCATTTGCTCATTGCGCTATACTATTGAAAATGCCAGCAAGAATTCTATCAGAGTATGAGCTATTTCTGATCTTCAGATATTTTCTTATATTTCAGCAATTTACAGAAATTGTTATAACGCTTCTTGATCTTCACTATTTTAACTGTAAAATAATTGACAAAG